GTCCTGGGGTCCTGGGGTCTGTGTGCTCAGCCCCCCTGTGGAGAAGGACACTTGGCAGGTGAGGTCGGTGTCATGGTCCTGGGGTCTTAGCATGAGGTTGAGCATGGAGACATGGGAAGGTTGGGGCCTGGTTCCTTGGGAGGAGATGGCAGGCCCTATCCAGGAGAAACAAGGGGCTGGACATTCCTCGAAGGCCCAGTGAAACACACAGATGACCATCACCGGCCACCCAGGCACCAGGGTCTCCAGGACCTCTAGACATCTGATCCCCGAGTCAGGGCTGGGCTGAGAGGGGGGCATCCCAGGGCTCCAGGGGAGTGCCTGAGAGCCCTCCATGCTCAGCCCTGCTCCTGTCCCCCAGGGTCCCACATACCTGTCACTACTAGAAAGAATGCTCTCCTGAAATTATGATTTACGTGGCTCCCTCTCTCCACCCGAAAGTAGTAATATCCTGTGTCCAACTTCTTGGCCTCTCTGATCACCAGGGAGCAGTCCTTGTTCTGGGGCCTCCCACGGAACTCGAATCGGCCATGCACCCTCCCTTGCACCTTTCGATTTAGGTTGTTTGTGGCCACTGGAGCACCAGTGGTAGAGTGGGACCTTTCTTCAAACCAGTAGCCATAAGCTGGGGTAGACTCCGTCCAGCCATTCTGGGGGTAGGAGAAGGTGCAGGGGATAAAGACACACACGCCCTCCTGCACGCTCACCGACTTCTGAACTTGAATGTGGTAATCAGGATCCTCCTTCAGGGACCCTGTGGGGACACAGAGGCTCAGCTGCTGCCCCAGCCCCATCCTGGGAGCCCCCGCCCCTGACCCACTCACCTGCCCCCAGCATGGACAGCAGCAGGAACAGAAGCAGCATCCTCAATTCCCAGTGGCTGTGACTGCCCTGGGACTGTCTGGCTCCTGGGCAGCCCCATCTGGGGAGGAAGCTCTTACAGCAGGCCTGGGGGAGGGACAGTGCCCGCTCACAGAAGAGGAACCTCAGGGAGCGCCCATGTTCTGCAAGGACCCCTCTCCTGACTTCTCCCTTCTGAGGGGGAAGCAGCAGGGCAGGGGCTATGGGGACATGCCCCAAACCAGGGTGGCCGCTCTGAGTCAGCCTTGGCATCCAAGGCTGAGCAGGGACTTTTGGGGCACAGAGGGGAGTCACGGCTCACAAGAGGTGACAGAGGCCAGTGCCCATTCATTCATTTATTCATTGATTCATCCTCCAGCAAACATCTACTCCATGAAGACTGGAGACAAAGTGTTCCCAGGGGCCTCGCCCTCAAGTGACCCCAAACCCAGGGACCCTTGCAGGCTCCCTAAGGACACTGAGCTGCTCTGCCTGTCTTGGGGCCACCTCTGAGGCCCTCACCTCGGGCTCTCAGCTCCACAGGAAGAAGTGGGGCCACAGCAGAGGTCTCAGCACTCAGAAGGCCTCACCCTTTGGGTTTAAGGTGCTGAGTTTGGCATCTTGAATTTCTCACCAATGTTGGTTTTGAATTGGGTTTGTATGTGAGGTCTAAGGGGATCGTGGAACCTGCACTGTGTGGGGGAGCAGTGTTGTCACACAATCTGGACTTGTCACTTCCCTACCTCCTTCATCACCCAGACAGGGTCTTCCCAGCCCGCTCTCATTCTCCCTCATGGGCCCTGAGAGGCTCTGGGTAGTGCTGAGTTGAGGGGAAGGGGTCCCAGGAAACTTGAGGGTCTGCACTGCCCAGCCTCAGTTTCCCCAAGGCTCAGAGACTGGATAATAACAAGCAAATGAAACCCACTATGGGGTCTGTCCATACAATGGAATAGTGTTCAGCCACAGGAAGGAACGTAGCACTGATGCCTGCTACGGTGTGAGTGGGCTTGCAAACATCCTACTACATGTCAAAAGCCAGACAATATTGCAGAATCCCTCCACATGAGATGACCAGAAGAGGCTAATTAATAGAGAAGTACAGGGTGGTGCCTGTAGCTCAGTGGGTAGGGTGTCGGCCACATACACAGAGGCTGGCAGGTTTGAGCCTGGCCTGGGCCTGCTAAACAACAACGACAGTTGCAACCAAAAAATAGCCGGGCTTTGTGGTGGGTGCCTGTAGTCCCATTTACTCAGGAGGCTGAGGCAAGAGAATCACTTAAGCTCAAGAGTTTGAGGTTGCTGTGAGCTGTGGTATCACACCACTCTACTGAGGGCAACATAGTGAGACTCTGTCTCAAAAAAAAAATAGAGAAATACAGAATGTCTCAAAGGTCGCCCATAAAGTCACCATATATAGAGAAAAAGAGAAAGGGTTGTCTACTTAACTCCACAAGGAGACAACAGCTGGGAGGTCAATATAGTGATGCCCTGGACCCTGCCCTATATACCTTTTTCCTTTCTTTTTTTTGCAGTTTTTGGCTGGGGCTGTGGTTTGAACCCGCCACCTGTGGTATATGGGGCCAACGCCCTACTCCTTTGAGCCACAGGCACCACCCCACCTTTTTCCTTTTTTGATTTTAAAATTTGTGTTTATTAATATATAATATTTGCACTTATGTATGGGGACCATGTGATATTTTGTTACTTACATAGAATGTGGATTGATCAAGTCCATGTATTTGGATATCTGTCCTGTCAAGCATTTATCATTTCTATGTGTTAGGAACATTTTATATCCTATCTTCTAGTTATTTTGAAATAAACAATATATCGTTGTTAAAATATAGTCACCCTACTCTGCTATCAAACATGAGAACTTACTCCTTCTTGGGCTGGGTGCAGTGGCGCATGCCCGTTCCCAAGCACTCTGGGAGGCTGAGGTAGGTGGATTGCTTGAGCTCAGGAGTTCAAGACCAGCCTGAGCAAGAGCAAGACCTCATCTGTACTAAAAATAGAAAACCAGCGGACATTGTGTCAGGAGCCTGTACTCCCAGCCACTTGGGAGGCTGAGGCAGGTGTATTGTTTGAGCTCAGGAATTGGAGACCAGTCTGAGCAAGAGTGAGACCCTGTCTTTACTAAAAATAGAAAAATCAGGGCAGCACACGTAACTCAGGAGGTAGGGTGCCAACCACATACACCCAGGCTGGTGGGTTTGATCCCGACCCGGGCCAGCTAAAGAGCAATGACAATTGCAAAAAAATAGCTAGACGTCGTGGTGGGCATCTTAGTCCCAGCTACTTTGGAAGC